CTTTTATATTTATCGACTACATACCACAATGCTTCCTTCAAATTTGTGTGGGTTGAAAAGGAAGGCTGAACAGTATAGAATAAACCCTATTTCTGGGACTGCGAATGATCTACTGGAGAAGGCTGTAGATGTAGCATTTGTTAACGTTGAAGAAAGTATTGGGTATATTACTGAAGCTGTTATTATTGCTGCATCTGATATAAAGGAAATGAATAAGGGCTGTAAATATGATCAATAATGGTTTGATAGCGAATGCCAGCTACTTAAAAAGGAACGATGTAGACGTTTGAATAACTTTAGAAAGAATAAGGATAGAGGATCACTAACCGACTATAATAGAGTAAGAAATCAGTACAACGATGTTTATAAGAAAAACAGAAACTGTTGGAATCAAGCATAGATAATTCTAAAACATTTTGGACATCGCTAAAAGCCATTAAAATAAATAGATATTGCAAAAATGTCATTGATATTCAAGCCTGGTTTGAGCTTTTCCAGGAACTGTTTTCAGTTCCATTTAGCCATGACGATAATTTATTTGACATGGAATTCAACGAAGATAAAGTTGACAGTGTAACAGATGATATTCTTGAATGTCCAATATCTAAAGAGGTAATTATTGACAGCATATCCAACCTTAAAGATAATAAGGCATCTGGAAATGATAATGTGACAGCAGAGTTTTTTAAACATTCCTCAGATATTTTAATACCATATTTGGAACTAATTTTTAATATCCTTTTAGAGAGATCATATTTTCCAGATAATTGGACAGTTGGCATTATTGTCCCTCTTCACAAACAGGGCGCAACCAGCGATGTTAAAAATTACAGAGGCATAACTCTCCTAATTACATTCAGTAAAATATTTACTTCAATTATTAATAAGAGACTTGTTTTCTGGGCGGATTCTTTGGATAAAATAAGTGAGTCACAAGCAGGTTTTAGTAAAGGATACTCCACCACTGACAGTGCTTTTATCCTATATTCTATAATTCAGAGATATCTATCAGTAAAACAAAGGAAACTTTATGCACTGATGGAATACAACTGCACCCCGAAACAATTAAATTATTTCTGCTTCTTTTCGCTGACGATATAGTCATGTTCTCGAGCACAATACCTGGACTGCAAAAGCAAATACATGTATTAGAGAGTTATTGTGACGGGTCAAAACTTACTGTAAATACATGTATGGATAAAACCAAAGTTGTAGTTTTTAAAAATGGTGGTCACATATACAGAAAAGAAAAATGGCTTTACAGATGGAAGCCTGTAGAAGTTGTTCCATTTTATAAATACTTAGGCTTGTGTTTTACAAGTAGATTAACTTGGTCAAGGAATGCACATAACATTTCATTGCAAGCCAACAAAAAAATTTGTAGGCATATTAAAAAGTCTTAGATTTCTGGACAATGTTACATATGATGTTTATTTTAAAATATTTGATACAAAAATAAGCCCGATGCTATTGTATGGATCAGAAATTTGGGGCCTAGAACATTTGGATATTATTGAGAAAATACATTTATATGCATGTAAACGGTTCTTGGGGGTAAAATCTAGCACAGAAAACGCAAGGGTATATGGTGAATGTGGACGGTTTCCCATGTATATCAATAGTTATTTAAAGGTTATTAAATACTGGGTCAAGCTATTAAATATGCTATCTTCAAGATACCCGAGAAAATGTTATAATATGATGCTTCTCTACGACAGCTATGGGAAACAAAATTGGGCATCAAAAGTTAAAAACATGTTATACGAATGTGGATATGGTTATATTTGGTTACAGCAACATGTAGATATGCCACAACATTTCTTCTCCCCTTTGACACAGACTTTAAAAGATATGTACATTCAAAAATGGCATGGTTCTTTGTCCAGTTCTAGAAAAGCAAATTACTACACTTCATTTAAGACTACTATTATACTAGAACCTTATCTATTAAGTGTAAATTTACATAAGTGAAGAACAGCTCTTTCTCGATTCCGTTGTGGCTTACATGATCTATTTATTGAAACAGGCAGATATGAAGGTATTGCAAAAGAACACAGACTTTGTAGGATTTGTAAAACTGATTGTACTGAAGATGAATATAACTTTTTATGTGTATGTCCAGTGTATAAAGATTTAAGAGCACTATATCTAAATAACTATTTCTACCGCAAGCCAAACGGTAACAAATTTTGTAAATTAATGACTTGTGATTGTACAGAAACTATTAGAAATTTATCAATGTTCATTTATCATGCGATGAAACTGAGAAAATATATGAATTTGTAACACGCCCCACACAATGTACTATAGGCCTTTGGCCTCATAAGTATCATGAATAAATTGATTGATTGACTACATAGCTATTCACAACTATAGAGAAGGAGCTTGGTTACATTCAATCTGAAGATTTATATGGTGTGGTGATATCTAAGATACAGGCGTCAAATATGACAGTAATGTAATAAAGGTTCTATTCTTTGAATTATCAATAATGATAACTATGGTTTAATGTTTACATGTTTGTTCAGGTGAACACGTGACATGACTTTGCATGTGTTTATGATTGGTAACACTGGTGGGGCAGGATACACTTTTATTTTCACAAATAAGTGGTATATCATCACTCTTTGATCAGGATTCATAAACACATGTTCATGTTATAGTCCAATAATTGTCCAGTGGACTGTATCACATGATTATGAAACAGTCGTTTTTGCTTTTGCTTATTAATATCGTCACTGTTAATTTCCAAGTTGACCCTTGAGGGTTTTACCCCAAAATGAGTACATACAGAACTAAATTATGTAAATCATTAAATAACCACCAAGATCAATGATATATTATTGAAACACACTGGATTTGCAATGGGTCAAATATGTAGCAGGAGGCATAAATGACAGGCCCTATTACATATGTATCACCAATGCCCTTGTCTTGTTGCTGGTATCACTCAGACAATACTGACCGTCAGAAGGTCCTGATTTACTTTCAGCATTCAAGGTCTCGCGACATCATTATCATCAATGGCAACACAAAAAGTCTCACATCCTATTTATGTTAGCGTTCTCCAAAGATTCCTTCATTCCTATTCATAAGGCTTGTGCCTTTTGTAATTAGAGATTTCTGAAAATATATTCCGCATTTCCCTGACAACAAGATAAATTCAAATGAAGGTATTGTTCGTTTCCAGAGCAAAACTCGATGACTTCAATATATCTTGATATATCTAGATGTCAGTTGATCAATTAACTTGTGCCCTTTGCTATTTACGAGCCCTTTGCTATTTATTTTGCACATTTTTGTTTCTGGTTTCTATGACACCACATTGTATTCTAAGAAGGGTTCATTCTTAGAACATTACTCATAAACTATGGGTATCTCTACACTAAAGTGATAAAATAGTGACTATCATGTTTGTTTGATTTTGTTATGCATTAAAAGAAACAGGATTTATTCTCATTTTGGGACGGGATTACTTTCTGGAGCAGACATAACCTTCCTTGTGGTTATTCACTCAAATTCTGTACAGAAGGCACCGGTGCCTGTAAACGCCGCCGAAGGACGTTCCAAATGAACTCCAGCAGCTCCAGCATTAAAGCGTCTTCATTATAAGGGACAGTTAGCCTAATGTTCCTGGCCTCATACTAATTGAAGCAATGCCATTTAATCACGCTGTGATGTCATATGAGGTTGTACACTCACTGGCATAACGAAGGTCCTTCACAGCAATCGACTGTGTAATGGTAGCCTAGTTGCCAACCTCTGATTATCATCTTTGCACCTCTGATATCCTCACAGGGAATGACTTAATATTGCCAGACCACAGTCACGTGAACATTGTTACACCATCACGATGGAGCACTTGTCATAATCATCATTACTATTAGTTACCATATACAGTTGAAATTATGGTGACGTGTTATCATGAATTCATTATGTCAGTGAGTGTCTAACCTTTTTCAGTTCAACCGGTCTGAAGGACCAAGGTGAGCTTATGCCATACCGTGGCGTCCGTCGTCCGTCCTCCGCACGTCAACAATTTTTTCAAACGACTTCTTCTTCTGAACCACTAATTTGAAATTAACTAAATACAAGGTGGGCTCATGCAATACCGTGGCGTCCGTCGTCCGTCCGTCGTCAGTACATCATTACTTTCAAACGACTCCTTCTTCTGAACTACTAATTGGAAATTGGCGAAATTTGATTGGAAGCATCCCAAGGTGTAGGGGATTCAAAAGTGTACAAATGGTGGGGCTGAGGGGCGAGGCCAAATAGGGGTAATTTTGGCTATATTGCTTTAAAAGACTTCTTCTCTCGAACTAAGAGATCGACATCAACCATATTTAGTCGAAAGTATTCACAGGTGCTGGGGATTCACAGTTGTATAAATGGAGGGTCTGACCCCCAGGGGCTGAGGGGCGGGGCCACAAAGAGTGTACAATTTGAACAGAGATAAGATCCCCACCGTATAACCATATGTACAATTGCTGAGTATAATGAGAAGAATGCACGTATGCTACCAGGACTGGCCCTTCTGTTTATCTGTCCAGCACTCCCAAAGGAGTTAGAACCCTGACAATAACAAGCAAACCGATATTATCCCCACCCTATAGCTATAATAAACAGATTCATTGTAAACATTTGTTTGTTATGAAGAGAATAATACATTTATTCCAATAGGATTCACCCTGGGGTCGGGCCTTGCCTCTGGAAACTTAGATCCTGGATCATAACATGGAAACGGTTCAGATCTTTGTGCTAAATTTGTATCTAGAGCAGTACAAGTTGATGCTGTCAGATTTGCCATCTACCCCTTTTAAATGCTGACAGAGTAAAAATACGAAATATTTGCAGTATTATATATATGTACAATGCAAATGTATATTTTGTCATGTTTGCGTTAATATCCAAGTGAGCGATACAGGCCGTATGAACCTCTTCTTTAACCTTTTACACATCCCTCATCATTATTTGTCCACTACATGACACATGTGTTTCAGGTTCCCAAAAGTATTTGATCATTGCGTCCAGTACTAAACCTACAGACACGTTCAGCATCAGTGACGATGACGAGAAGAAGATTGAGGTCCGCCATCAGACAAGAGTTGTGATCAAACAAGGAAGACTTGTAGCATCATCTGAAAACTATCACAATTACAACTCTAATTCACTGAAGAAGCTGGCTGAAGCCATATGTGAAAAGTACAGTAACCATGTTGAGGTAAGTATAAAGAAACATATTAATTATATTTGCCATGTTAGTTATGTTAGACATTAACACTTGTTAAGTACAGCACTCTCTCAAAAAAGAAACGCAACCCCAGTCTGAAAATGAGAGAAAACCCCAAGAAGAAAAATATTGATTGTAAATACAATTTTTCTGATATGCACTTATACCATGTACACTGTTTATTAACGTAAGCGCCCAAACACACCAATTTTCGTGCACAAGGGCATTTTATTGTTACCTTTATCAAAGTGAGCAAAATTCTCACGTGGCCCATGCCAAAAGCCTCATGCACGTGCAATTCATTGAAAGAGCAGTAGAAGTATTGGTTTATAAAAGCGCGTGTTGATTAGCGATTCACTCTATCATTTTCACCGAAAGACAAGGTTGATATGCCACGGTTGAGTGCTACAGATCGAAATATCGCCATTGGTCGTATTGAGGCAGGACAAAGCTTTGGAAACGTTGCCCGGCACCTCAATGTTCATAAAACAACGTTTTCCCGACTTTGGAGCCGATACACACAGTTTCATGCAACTGAAGATCGCCCCAGAAGTGATAGGCGAAGGGTTACCACACCACCTCAGGATCGATTCATCCGGGTCACCGACCTACGTAATCCGCTAGCCACATCTACCGTCACTGCAACACAGGTGCCAGGTTTGAGAAGAGTGTCCGCACAAACAGTAAGGAACCGTCTACGAGAGGCCGGTCTACGTGTAAGAAGACCATTTATTGGACCTGTTTTACGCCACGAACATCGACGCCAACGACTCAGGTGGTGCACCAACGTTCGGATATGGACCCTCAGAAACTGGAGGTGCATCTGGTTTAGTGACGAATAACGTTTTCTCTTACACCGCCGTGACGGAAGACAGCGTCCCTATAGAAGAGGAAACGAACGTTTTGCCCCGAACTGTGTTCGGCAGGTCGACAGATTTGGAGAAGGGAGCGTCATGGTGTGGGGAGCCAAATCTTACAACCAAAGATCAGACTTGGTGATCATTCGTGGCAATTTGACAACCCAGCGCTATATTAATGACGCCTTACAGCCTCATCTTCTGCCGATTATCGACCAACAGAGGGAGCTCTATCAACACGACAACGCCCGGCCGCACACTGCTCATGCAACAGTGAATTTCCTTCAGAATTCTAACGTCAACGTGTTACCATGGCCCTCCCGATCACCAGACATCAGCCCAATCGAACATCTTTGGGATTATCTGGACCGACGAGTACGTGCACGTACACCGCCGCCTCAGACGTTGGATGCACTAGCCGTTGCACTGCAGGAGGAGTGGAGAGCAATCTCTCAGGAAATAATCCGGCGTCTAATCCGTTCTGTTCCTAGGAGGTGTCATGCTGTGATCGCAGCTCGTGGCGCTCATACGTGGTACTGAGAAAGACGCCCCCTTGCCTCAAGTCAATCTTAGTGAGAGAACTGTCGAAGTCTGGACTTAAACTGTACTGCCACCAAGCCAAATTTCATATTGTTGTTTTCAATAATAAATGTGCTATAATAACTTGAATATTGAGATAAACATCTTGAAGATATAGGGGTTGCGTTTTTTTTAGAGAGAGTGTATCTTTGTTAACATTATAAACAGGTGAGCTTCAGTGTCGTGGCACCATTTGTAACGATGAAACTCTCTTTGTACCATATGTAAACGTATGTAGTATGTACCTCACTCACATATGTTGTGTCGCATTTCAATAAAAAAAAATGCTATCACGAATTATATGGTGATATGGTTTGAGAATAAATTTGCCTTTGGAACCACTACACATTCCATACCTCCTATATGATTTTTTATGAAGCAGCCCCCGAATGGGGATGGAATTGAAGGTTGAGGTCTGTTGATAATAAATGCACATGATATATTGAGGATTTATGATTTTGATTTGATGAAACGTAATATACATGATCTCTAGGGTGCATGAACATTTCGGTGACCTCAGTAAAGGTCAATGTCATCAGAGGCTAACTTGTCAAACATATTTCAGGATTTTTTGTTTTTAATTGATGAGAGATCAAACATTTCCCAATAGTAGATTAACTATGAATATCATGTGTCAAAGTAATTAACTCTTTAAATAAGAATAAATTGTTTCATTCAGAAAGTACTGGCAGTACGGTATGGAGACATCACACCTTATCCCAGTAATGACGTTGAAAAGCGTTGAACCCTTATTTGACATTCTCGATTCCCACAGTATGGTGTTAGAGCTCATGGATGTCAACTTTCTTGGTATTTTCGTAAATAGTCAAAGCCAATCTCAGAAACAAATATTGCAATTGAAAGAATGAGCAGTCTTATACAGAAACTGATTTTGTCACCTTCCGACAATTATAGTTGACTTACGAAGAATAATTGTTAGATATTCATATCAATAAACATCTGCAGAAGAGATTGAACAGTTGATGTATCAAATAAGGTTTAATGAACAAGTGATTAGTTTTAACAACATATATCTTAATACCACCGAGGCTTGTAACAATAACCATTGTAAGCATGTTGATGGACCATTGATTATTATTCATCTAACTAAGCTTCACTTCTATGTAAGTGAACTGTTGTGAGAATGGGACACCTACATGTAAATTGTTTGACTCACTGCTTATGGTGTCTGACACTGATTGACCAGTTTTATCTTTTTACATGCGAGAACATATCTTTCTTAGCTCTCTTTTGGATGAAACAACATTGTTCTCTCTCTTCTGGCATCTTGATATTTGTGCTTTGGAGTTGTGGACCTCATCTTACATAAGCTGAAAAAAAGTTGAAATGGAAGATGATTTGTTGCTGAATATGAGGCCATATTACCCATACGTACCTAAGACAGAATGGTATAACACGATTTTTGATGTGGGAAGGAACTCACATTTACTGCACCTCAGAACACTTGATGAGTGCAAACACTCATCGGATATGAATACATTACCAAGAAAATGTGCCAATCATATGTGACAATCCAACTCATCTCCTATGTGTTGTATCGGGCCATGGGAGGACCTGGACATTGTGGTTCCCTAGGAATGTATGTGGTCTTACATTTACATGTTGAAAGATTAAGCTGGCATAGTTCAGTGTAGGACAAACGTGTGGTTGTAGGATGTCATCACAATAGTGTTATGTCGTTAAGTTGCCTTGTATTTGCACCAGGTTTGTTCTGTCACTGTGGCAGACGACCATCCTCATCATTACGCTGCCACTGCCAAATCTGTCGATCTCTAAGGAGGTTGCAGCCAAGCCTTCATGTTGATGACGCTAAGCTCTAGTTCTTCCTTCAGCTTGATGTAGCTAAGATCTTTACTTGTTGCGGAACAGTTCTGATTCGACCATAATACGCATGTTTGACACAGGCGTCACAGTTAATGATGGTGTTATCTCTGAGGGGCTTTGAGACCATCATTATGATGGTGGTTCTGCAAAGTTTGGTCAGATAGCCTTTTGCAATCTTGGAATTGATGATGTTGTAGAGGATGCTAATGCATACCCTTGCAACGAATGAAACGCAGTGAAATATATTTGAATGGAAATCAGTGATGTCACCAAGTATTCACAAAGAGGGTAATTACGACCTGCCCTACCGGAAGCACCCAATATTCACACAATTTGCATGACAAAGCGAGTCCATATTAATGTCTGGGCCCAATAATTTCTTTTGTAGTTGACTGAGCATAATTGATAAATGCTACTGAGCTTGTGATGAAACTTGGGGACTCGGCCAGCTGAAACATTTACCCAGTTTTAAGTAAATATACAACACCAGAGAATAACCAGTGTCAAACATCCGCCTCATCAGATTCCATGCACCAGTGCAACCTATTATTGAAAAATGCAATTTATTATATTATCATTTAATATAGCGGCATTGCCTAGGCGATGGTCATAAAACATACATTTATCAGGGAAGGCTCATGAAATAATATTCATTTAATATTAATATTTAATGGAAGCAATCTACGCGTCTCATCTGCTTATTGTCCTAATTTATAATCCATGTGTTTTAGTTCTGTTCCTTATGTATCTTCATAGATTTTTATCATAATCCAAAGTATTTCAGGATTAAAGATCGCGTGATATTGGGTTTTCCCGTCTACTGGCCCTTTCGTTATGAAAAAGATTATGAAAATTGCCATTTTGTATAACACAGGATCTAGCATTGTTAGTTAATATATAAATACATCTTAGGATCTGAGGACTAAAACCAAATAATCCTAAGAATACGTTACATCTGTTACATCATTGCCATTATCCTGTATTTTGGCTGCAATCACACTGTAACTAAATTATCAGATTATCAAGGGAAGTCCTCTTCACTGTCAACTATTCATAACTAGTGGTTCTCGTAATTGCATAAAGCAGCTCATAACCCTCCCATGTGCAAAGGCGGGGATATCCTCACTCTTTTCCTGTATTTGTTGAGAGGAAGCATCACATTTCATTCTCGTTGCCTATTGCACTTGTAGTCACACTTTATTCTAGTTAGTCTTCAGCCTAGTTAGTAGTTACGTTATAATTCAACTAAATTAGGAAGTTTGTGTTCAACTGATGACATGTCTGGGGATTTGGCTGTTGTGCCAACTTGCTGCATCAGACAACTGAATGCAACACGAGTTCTGTGAGGATGTGCATTGTTATCCCGGAACTCTCGTTCTGACATACGAGCTGGCCAAACAGATGAGGTGGTGTGGTGAAATGGGGTTTAACGTCGTGCCCAAGATTATTGCACTTATATAGCGACCAAATGAGATGACCACTGGACGTAACATTTGGTCCACTAACATTGATGCCATGTTCCCTTGCACGATCATCAGATCCAACCTGTTGTAAAGAGCTTTATATCTGATTGAGCATATGTGACATCAAGATCGGAACCGACGTCAGAATCAGGAAGCTTCAATGAGACAGGAAGTGACGCCACAACCAGAAGTGAAGACGTATAATAACGTCATTAAAGACCAGAAAATTATACAAGACGTGACAGGA